TTAAAGTCAAGAGGTATGAGAGCTACTACTTTTTGGTTATCAAGTGACATTGTTATATTGTCTGTTAAGTCACAGAGTGCCGAAGCTGTATTATGACCTTGTCGAAATCCAGATTGTTTAGATAGAAGAGCTGCTCGTAAACAACGCGTTCCAATACTTTAGAAAAAATTGGCAGTAGACTGATCGGTCTCAGTTGACCATAGTTAGTAGGATCAGAACACGTAGGTAGCGGAACAACTATAGCGCGTTTTCACTGATTGGGGAAATATATAATGGTTTTTACGGCTATTGTTTTGGTTATTAGTATGTCTTTTATGGAACGGTTTCATCCCCTAAAATATCGCCTGAAGAAGCCAACAAGCAGAAATACGTATTGCTCGGATTACCAACCCTATTTCTGCTCGAATTCACCTTCGCTTTTTCATATTTTGCCCATTATTTTCCTATTGTTTTGTTGTATACCTTTTTCTCCGCATGATCATTTTCTGTTTGTAGATCCTTTGGGCTTGAAGTACCTCAGCAAGTGGCTATAACCGGCCGCGTGGTTCTGGTTAGATGTCACCTTGAAAATTCGAGGTCTTCTAGCCACTTTATACCACAAAGTGTAGGTTGGCTCTTGACGAGGACTTCTTGTGTCATTGTTTCCCTCTCCATCTTCGTTAGCTCAGGTTACACCCCTATCCGGATGTATGAGCATGTGTATCTACTTTTGTGGTTGCTTATGTGCATTCATTTCGGGCCTGATGAAGTCAACAAGCAGAAATCCGTATTGCTACGGTTACCTATTTTCTGCTCGAATCCGCTTTCCCTTTTTGCGGATTTTGCCCACTGTTCTTCCATTTTTTGTTATATATATATATATATATATATATCCCAGAAGTCGACGTCACGCCGAAACCGGGTGATAGGCAAAGTCATAACAGCTATTAGAAAAATATTTAAAAAAATTGTATTTATGCGTTTCGAAAATTATAGGTCTTTGAAAAAGATATAGAAATTTCACACCCTACGCCAGTCTGTCAACTCCTGTTACTACAAATATTAACTTTTTTTGGATTTTATTTTTACAATGTAATGATGAATAATGCATGTTCAAACTGGTGTCTCAACCTTACTGCCAACTTTTCTCGTTCAGGAAAAATTGCCACTTATTTCCCAACCAAGTATTCCAAAGTAAAACTTTGCTCAACTTTAACTGGCTATACTGGAAAAAAATATACTACGAGAGTTTGGCAAGTAACCTTAACAGTTGGCGCATTTAATAACGATTCCAAAATGGTTTAACACTTAGAAGATTACTCGTTAACTTATGCACAATTATTATTTGAAAAAAAACTGATGAAAATTTTTTTAAATTTCCTAATTAAACAGCGATTATGAAAACGCACAAGGACCCTTAAGGATAACTGTTTGCACAACAGTGGGCGTCAAAATGCTGCTGATTACCTTTACAGCAAATGCTCAAACTGTTTTCCTTCAGCCTTAATAAAGATCGGGTTATTAAACGAGCGAATCCACGGTTATTAACAAACTCAGGTGCTTCCAAAAGTCTTTGCCGTAGCTCAGCTACATTTTGAATCGGCTTGAAATACACTTCTTCTTTTACAGTTCCCCAGTAAAAAAATCTAAAGGATTCAAATCAGGTGATCGGGCTGGCCTCGGTATTGTACCAGACCGCCTTATCCATCTGCCTGGAAAGCTTTGATCTAGATACTCTCTCACTGAGAGTGCATAGTGCGCTGGGCAGACATCATGCTGAAACCACATGTCCCTGTAAATACTCAGTGGCACGTCCACCAATAAATTTTGTACATGATTTTTCAAAAAATCCAAATAAACTTCAGCAGTCAGTCTCTGGGAACTCAAACGGACCGATTATTTTACCATTTAAAATTCCTGTCCAATGGTTTATCTTGAAGCGATATTGAGATTTATCTTATCTCATCAAATGTGGGTTTGCTACGTGCCACTCGTGTGAATTATGCAGGTTCATGTACCCATCTTTCTTAAATGTGGTCTCATCCGACCATAAAATTTTTTCAAAGAACTGTGCATCTTTCCTGTGTCTTTCTAACATTGTGCGACAAAAAGCAATTCGGGGCTCATAATCCCGGGCAGGAGAGGTTGAACACGCTGTATGTGGTATGGATGAAGCACATCACTTACTTGCTATTGCACACTTTGATAGCGATCAGTACTCCTTCGTTTACTGCGCATCTTTACATGTTCGTGTTTGTTGATTTCATACTGTTACTAATTTTGGATTCGTGAACTAGACTGTTGATCGCTTGTGATTTGGATTTGGACTTATTAATTGCTCTTCAAAACAACATTTGCTTTCCTTAGACTATCTTTGATAGTATGATTGTGAAGTGCCGCTATGTCCGTGTACACCGTACAAGAATATGCTTATGTTACATGCACGTCATTTATGGGGAATGCAGATGCAACGCTAGTGCTGCAGCGAGACTTTACTGTGAGAGGTACCTGAATGCAGCTCGTCATCCAGATCATCGAGTTTTCACAAATGTGCACTGCTTACTGTTCTCAGAGGGCCAACTACCAAACCAATCACACGGTGAGGGAAGACCTTTCCTTCCTTACAAAGACGTGGTGCTAGGAGCTGTCGAAGAAGACCCGAGTACTTCAGTGCGTGCAGTAGAACTAAAAATAGGTGTGCCCAAAAGTACAGCCCATAGAATTTTGCAAAAAAACGTGCTCCATCCATACCACGTACAGCGTGTTCAAGCTCTTCTGCCCCGGGATTATGAGCCCTGAGTTGCTTTTTGTCGCATAATGTTAGAAAGACACAGGGAAGATCCACGGTTCTTTGAAAAAATTTTATGGTCAGATGAGACCACATTTAAGAAAGATGGGTACATGAACCTGCATAACTTACAGGAGTGGCACGTAGCAAACCCACATTTGATGAGAGAAGATAAATCTCAATATCGCTTCAAGATAAACTATTGGACGGGAATTTTAAATGGTAAAATAATCGGTCCGTTTGAGTTCCCAGAGACTTTGACTGCTGAGGTTTATTTAGGTTTTTTGCAAGATCATTTAGAAAATTTATTGGAGGACGTGCCACTGAGTATTTACAAGGACATGTGGTTTCAGCATGATGGCTGCCCAGCGCACTATGCACTCTCAGTGAGAGAGTATCTCGATCAAAACTTTCCAGGCAGATGGATAGGGCGGTCTGGTACAATGCCGTGGCTAGCCCGGTCACCAGATTTGAATCCGTTAGTTTTTGTTTACTGGGGAACTGTAAAAGAAAAAGTGTATTTCAAGGCGATTCATAATATAGCTGAGCTACGGCAAAGACTATTAAAAGCAGCTGAGTTTGTTAATAACCGTGGATTCGCTCGTTTAATAACCCGATCTTTTTTAAGAAGACGTCGAGCGTGTATTGCGGCTGAAGGAAAACAGTTTGAGCATTTGCTGTAGAAATAAATTATCATCAGCAGCATTTTGACGCCCACTGTTGTGCAAACAGTTATCCTTAAGGGTCCTTGTGCGTTTTCATAATCGCTGTTTAATTAGTAAATTTTGAAAAATATTCATCAGTTTCTTTTCAAATAAGTTAACGAGTAATCTTCTAAGTGTTATACCATTTTGGAATCGTTATTAAATGCGCCAACTTTTAAGGTTACTTGCCAGTTAAAGTTGAGCAAAGTTTAACTTTGGAATACTTAGTTGGGAAATAAGTGGCAATTTTTCCTGAACGAGAAAAGTTGGCAGTAAGGTTGAGACACCAGTTTGAAGATGCATTATTCATCATTACATTGTAAAAATAAAATTCAAAAAAAGTTAATATTTGTAGTAACAGGAGTTGACAGACTGCCGTAGGGTGTGTTCTATATTTTTTTCAAAGACCTATAATTTTCAAAACACAGACATAATTTTTTTAAATATTTTTCTGATAGCTGTTATGACTTTGCCTATCACCCGGTATCGGCTTGACGTCGACTTATGGGACACCCTGTATATATATATAGGCAAAAAATACAATTAATTGTTAATTGGGAAATTCGCAAACTTTTTTTAGGCTTTAGTTAACTCTTTTAACGGCAGTCTCTAGCTTTCGGCAATTCTCTATCGAGCCTTCATCAGGAGCTGAAAACACAATTATGATGCTAGCAACCAATACGAAAAAGATTTCAATTGTCAAACAACTTGCTCGTCATTGAGGTAGAGAGAATTGTCGAAAGCTAGAGATTACCGTTAAAAGAGTTAACTAAAACCTAAAAAAAGTTTGCCAATTTCCCAATTAACGATTAATTGTATGCACAACTGGTCGTTGGCATTGGCAATGACTACCGCTCATATACACAGGGTGACTTCGAAGTTGAGTCATTTATTTTAACAGTGAGTAGATCTGATCAAAAGAAATGTTTTTTTCCTTTACCATTTTTCTGGTAAAATTAAAGTAACAAAGTTATAGCCCTTTGGAAGTTTGAGTACCGCCCTGTCTCAATAATAATATTATGTGCTCGTGTTGGCGACAACGGATATAATTCGCCTTATCGGTTCATCGCATCGGAAACAAAAAAGCGAAAGAATTTGGAACGATGTTTTTACAATTATTTCATTCAGTTGTATACAGTCAGTGTCAGTCGGTAGTGGATAGTGGTGTCTGTTGCGTGGCTCAAACGAAATAAAAAATGGCACATGTTTATGCGGATCGGTTTCCCAATCGAGTGCAACCAACCCCTCGTGCCTTTGTTAATGTAGTACAACGGGTTCGTGAATCATTTGACTTAAGACCTCACATATGGACGGCATGCCGGTGCTCCAAGACCTCACGATCAAATACAGGTCCGCACTGAAATACTTGTCGGGAGGATACTTTATAAAACAAGGTCAACATTTTTTTTTAACTTTTTTTTATTTTTACACACATATTTTGGTTTATCTTCCTTCTACAATCATTATCTGAAAATTAATGACTCAACTTCAAAGTCACCCTGTATATATATATATATATAAATGTATAGATTTGTTGGGTTAGTACTAGTAACTATAAAATAAGTTATTAAAAATGCAAATGTCGGAAATAATTATTTGTTCAAATAGAATACCGTTGACTTTATTTGATTAAAGTACAATTGATTTGTAAATTCCTTCTACGCAGCACTGTCTACTCCAAAAAAGTATTCGCCTATACCTATGTAGTAGACTACTTGAGCAATAGCATACAAAGGACCTATGACCATCGCTCTACAAGCTCCACCTTTGAAAAATGCTTTGGGGCCTTCATGCTTCATAATAGTTCTGGAAACAGAATATACTTGTATTTTCTCTCACGATAAAAACGCATGATATGACCTTTTAAATTACCTTATGTATATACTTTTTGTGATAAAACAGCTTAGGTACAAATATTGAGCAAAATTCTCGTTAATACTCACGATATAGCATCTAAGGTCCCACTGTATGTTTTTTCACCTTGTCCTTTGGTCGTAGTTTGAAATCGTGTCTTCATGACGTCAGCAGGTGTCACGGCTACTGCACTAATGATACCAGATGCTGCCCCGGATACAAAGTTAACCAAAAACTGTGAGTTCCCTGAGAATTATCAAATTATATAATTATTCAGTTAATTTTTTCCACCAAAACCAACCCGACTTCCGACTTCAACTCGATTTCTAATTCAGTTGATGCGTTTCTGCGTTCCACCGAAGCGAGTGCCATGCGACTGTCACTTTTTTTTTGAGATTTTGGATAAAACCACTGACTGTACAGGATGATTCACAAGTCAGGACCAAAAATGAAACATTATACACAGGACTGCATTTTAAGGGAGATCTTCTATATAACATTCTTTCCTTGAGGGCTTCATTAAAAACATACCCCGTATGAACTTTAAAAATAAGAAAAATTTTTTTCTTCAAAACCGTCAACTGAAATGAACTAAAATTTGGTATGTGGATGTACCTAGTATTGTCGACATTCAGATGTCTTTACTTAAAATTAGCCTGCACTACAACAAAGTTATTGTGCAATGGAGGATTTGCGGGAAGGAACACCTTGGATGCAAACGTATTCCTTGATTAATGTAATTTCTGAAACTCTTATTTTCACTCTAATAATCCCCCACCTTTGTCTGGCCAAATCAAACCACACATTATGTTTAAAATTGCTAGTTATTGTGCGACATTTCAGTACCAACGGTGACCCCTTTCAAGTACAATTGACACTTTCAGGAATATATTTTTTCTATCATGAAAACAGATAAACAAAAATACCTCGGGGAAAGGCACAAACAGACTTTGGGAAAGTATACATACTTTGATTTCTGGATAGGAGGAGCAGCTTACTTTTGCGGACCTTTGATATTAATAATATCTTTTAAGGACATGGCCTGCATTAGTTCACAATAACATCCACAGATGACATCTTCCATCAACCCTGGGGCAAATGCAAACCGATTAGCGACGGTAATTTTAACAACCGTTGAGCATCTGGTCACATTGCCGTCGCTTTGGTGAGAACGCTTGTATACTAAATGACATAGAAAATGCAACACCGACTAGGAGTGCTGTAATTTGGACTCTACTTACTAGTTTTAGTTCTACCAATAAATAGGAACTGATTAAAATTTTAACTCGAAATTTCGCAAAATAGCTGAGATATCGCACGATAATGTTAATAATGTGTTCCTCTGTTCGCTACACATTCGTTAAGTCGTCGCAGCATTGAGTGGATGAGGTGATTGATGTCTTCTTGGTGTACTGTATCCCAGGCCATCTGAATTTGGTTTCGTACAGCCTCCAATGTTTTTGAAGGGTGCGGTGAATCCTGCAACCTTCTTCCCATCATGCCCCATACATTTTCGATGGAGAAAAGGTCTGAAGATCGAGGAGGACACTGAAGCAAATTTACTCCGGATGCTTCTAAAAAGTCTAAACATGTGCGACATGAGGTCGTGTATTATCCTGCAGAGGAAGTGGATCTTGCAATGGTTCCAAAAAGGGAAGCAGATGTGGTTGTAAAACTTCATGGATATACCGCTGGGCAGTAGTGCTATCTCGAGCGAACACTAATCGTGACTTGCTGCTGTTTGCAAGTGCGATGAATATGCCGTTCGATGGAATATTGGAGATTCCGTTGACCACGTCTCCTTCTTACTCTGTGCCCACACAGAATCTGGACTCATCGCTGATCACGACGAGTTCCATTCCATATTCCATTCAAGTCTCTCCCTACTCCACACCAATCGTGGCCGACGATGCTGTCTGGTCAGAGATAGTACAACATGGGGATGGTATGAAAACGGTTCAATAGACCTTATTCGGCGATAAGCTGTTGTCACTGTTATTGCGCTTCCCACAGCATCAAATCACTGGTTCGCAACTGCCCTAGTTGTGGAAAATCGATCTTTAAAAGCTAGTTGCCTCAACGATAATGTCGCTCTGTAGTCTGTCTTTGACATCCATTACCGCTAAGTCGTCGATTTCGGCCTTCTTGGAACCACGCTCGATAACATCTCATTACAGTATGTAGTTTCGATTCACCCGATTGCTAATTTCTCTAAAATAAAGTCCGGCTTCACGTTACCCGATTAACCGACCCCTCTCAAACTCAGAAAGTTGAGTGAAATTAGCGCATCTGCGAACTCTAGACAAGATAATGGATTGAAACAACAATGAAACAAATGGAACCAACACATAAAAATCACTGAATATTAAGCAAACATGTTTATATTGTTCAGATCCTGATATGACAAAAAAACCTTTACAAAAAAGTAGGGCTCGGAGTTCCAGTGATGCATTTTATATGTCCTTCAATATATTTGAAAACACGTGCCGAGTCCTGTGGCGGTCGGGTTGCGCCTGACTACCATTTTATTTGAGCTGTAATAAAGTTTAGCAATACATAAACCCATAATATTGCTCTATTGCTTAACTGCTCAGAGCACAGTTTCCACCCATCCATTCATTATTCAACTATAAAATTTCGTAGTCTGACTTACCAGAACTATCTACCATCGTGAAGCCAGCCGCTCTTAAATTTGCAAACAAAGGAAAATATATAACGGCAAAAGCGAAATCCCTATAAAATGTTGCGGATACTCCTTTGAAGAACCCTAACGGACCGTCAGACTTCATTATATTTGTCACTACTCTCATGAAGCTAGCGTCTATCGGAGGTTTACCACCTAAAAAATTCGTAATGTAAACCAATGAGAAACATTGCCTTGTATGACGAAAATATTTCCTTAAAGCTTTGATTTGCATACTTCATCAGAAAAAAACCAATTCAACTGAACTGGAAGCCTTTCCTGGGCATGTATATTATAGCGTTACCAACTATATATTTATGCTCGTCTTCAAATCGTATGCAAACGTATATCGTCGTTATTTTGACGAAAATTCCTGTATATGAGTTTTTACTTACAAACTCTTCTAAATTTAGAAAATTGATTTCGCTTCTTGCCAATGCATTTATGGCCGCAGACCAGAAAAAGCAGGCGAACTTGAGAGAATACTAAAATGGTAGGACATTAAAGACAAACACCAAATGTTTGCTAAATAGGCTAGTATTGGTGACTAGTGTGCATAAAAAAATAAACATCGTCCCATGATGAACTAAATCTGCTTGCTTTTCATTTGAGTAACCATGATCAACTACATACAAGATTTTCCGATGCTTACTAGCAATCATTAGTATGTTATAGGTCTGCTGAAAGACTCAATATGTTGACGCAAGATGTGACAACACTGACAATCGCCACATATCCTTGTCTATTTATGCAATTTTTCGTTCTTTTAATGACTGTGGGTGACATATATCTGTTTATAACGGTAGATGACTTTTACTAGGGCCTTCTGTCTTTTTCAGCTCAGGCGAACCATTAGTATGTGACGTTTGCTGGTGTTGTCATATCTTGTGTACAACATACTGAGTTTTTCAGTAGATCATACCCACTTGATTGCTGTCTGTTTATTTGTCTCGAACGACTAGGCCTACACCGTCCTCATAATAGATAATTACCATAAACATCGTAGTATGCGGTTGGTTACAGCTGCAGAGACGGGAAGCAAACAGATTCAGGTCTATGCAAATTCACTTAGGACGCGATTGATGGGAATTTGAGAGTTCCTGGTATTCCAGCAAATTAACGGGTTGTCCCTTTAATGACGTTTCCATTAAAAGTAGGCCAGAGGCATAAGTGATTCTGTCATTTTCACTGTATGGGCTGAAGGTGTATCGATCTCTGGCGAAAGATTTTTGGATGACGTTTGTCAATATTGTTCACCTCTTGCATATAAACTTGGTCGTCAAATGTCTTGTACGGACGACAGAATGCTATTCACCATCTCATTATACGTTCATTCATGACATAACTAAGGTATCTAATATTTCAATATTTAGTCTTTTGACCTAGAACATTACGTATACTGGTTTCTTCGTACAGTAGTCGGTAACCTGTCGGTGAATCAGAATCTGAGAGATGTTACCTGTTCGTACAGTTTCTGATTGTTTGCCGACAGCTAATCCACTGTTCGTACAGTACCTTCTGACAGATCAGAGGACATCAGTCAAGCAGTGACAGTGACAGGTACCAGAGGGTGTCGAAAGTATCATGAGGACTAAAATTGCTTCGCAAAAGGAATTAAATGATCGATTACTCTCCTCTAATGGACGGTCTGGGGACACCTTCACACCGACGAACCGTTGGCGATCTGGCTACGCCAAGGGGCATTGCTCTACATGAGGAGCTTTTCTCAGTTCTACTAACTTCAGGCAGTTCAAAAATAGGAACGGCAGGTAGGCTTCAAGTACGCGGCTGCTTTGATGTAAAAGAAACTGAGCGATATACCAAGTAGATGAAGACCTTGAAGATCTTCTGGAGGAGAGATTGGAACACAAAAAACTGAATTTTGTGGAGAAAACAGAGCCACAATTCTACAGAAACAAGTTTTTGTAACATTTTAAGCAAGTGGCAGAAGAAATTTCAATCAAATTCAATTTTAAATATCATGCAGCGACAAAGTGCTTTCTGCTCAATATTTTGTTTATTGACCCGGTAGTGACAAAATGAAGATGACGAAATACAGTATGAAAAATCCGAAAAATATAGGATAAAACTTTCAAGAAGCATAATTAATACGATTTTTGTGATCACTAATCTTCTGAAAATGTTTGTTACAATTGCAAAATGCGAAATTACGCAATTTAAGTCATACTTCTATGTATTTTCGTAGTCTCATTTCTTTTTGTCCATGTTGCGAACTCTGTGAAACATAGCTATGTAAGATCTTGATAATTGTAGTTATGTTCAGCGGTTTTACCTTTTTAGTGTATAACACCCTTTGTTATTCAAAGACGATATTATATCCTGATAGTATTTTTACTTCTTTCTTCTAGTGAGAGTCTGCATATGCAGGGTGATTCGGCACTCACCATTGGGATCTTGGAAACTGTAAGGGATGCGAAGTCGCTTAAATGAGGTAGTCTGGAAAATGACAGGAAGTTTCGAAATTCAAAGTACTTCCGGAAAGTGACAGAAAAACTAAATTTTCCCAAAATCGTTTTGATTTTTTCCTGACCTTATTTATACTGGGATTTTAAAATAAATTGCACACTAACATTGACACGTTTTAACCTCTACAAGAAAGTATAATCAGAATTTCTATATGACGGTTCGTCTCTTGTCCTCCAGCATCAACTTTATTATTTTTTCAGGACGCTACATTGCATTTTACGTCGTACATTGACGTTGCCAAACATTAGTTACTTCAAAAAACAACAGAATTTCTTAGGTAGGCCTTGAAATTAGCAGATATTTGTTTTGCTCACCAGATTTATTCCAAAATCGCTTTATTCTTTTCCTGACTTGAGATGCGATTTCAAAATGAATTGCATATTGTCATTGTTACATATTCTCGTCTACAAGTTGGCGTAGTCAAATTTGTAATTCGACATTATTTCTTTCGACTTCCATCATCAACTTTGTTTTTTCATATGAACGCTATATTGGAATTTTGTACATTTAAATGGACTTTTCAGCCCTAAATTCAGTTAGGTATTTCGTTTGTTGACCGCCAGTTTGTTTTTGGTTGAACATATAGGAAAATAAAAAGATATGGTGAAACCTGAATACGAAATGAAAATTTTATTGATAGCAATAACAAAAATAACCATAAATAAGCAGAGGTCTTCACAGCCTTCCAAACTCTGTTGCTATGCAAACAAATGAAGTTTGATAATTTTAAGGCTTACCTAGGAACTTCTGGAATAACTGCGGTTTTGCATGACATATACATTTTTGAAATTAGAATAAAAATTCTATTCATATGTGTTAGAATCCAATACATGTAAGTGACTTCGTATCCCTTAAAGTTTCCGAGATCCCAATGGTGAGGGTCAAATTTGAAATACCCTGTATAGAGAAAATATTATTTTCACCCCAGCAGAAACAGTCGGCCACTCCCTCTGCGTTTGCATACGTGAAAAAAAGCTGTATCACAAAATCGCCATGATTCGTTATTTTATTGTTCTTTATCAGCTTTGGGTTGGACTTACATAACTAGAATATGAAAACACTTCGAGGCTGAGCGACAAGGGAACAGGTAACAAAAACCCTACTATCCGAGTTTTATTAAAAGTCATTCACAAAACTTTGTGCTTTTCTCATGCATAATCACTGCAGACGTTTATTCAAAATTCTTACTATTTACTTCTTCAACTTGTCATTTGACGTGTGGAATCATATTTCTTCGAATTTACGTTTATACCTTTTAAACGAGAATTGAATGGGAATTACGGAGTAAATCTACTTGACATTTTTGGGTGCTGTTATTTTTTTAGAAAGTGTCCCATGTTTTCCTCTCTAGCGAAAAATTCGGGCTGATTCGGGCAGTTGAATGCTATATCCTAGATCATTCTGGTTTACAGCAACTGAAAATACCCCAACTTTTCAAAAATTGTCAATTTCATTCTGATTAATTATTGTACTTGATTTCGAGCCGTGACAATTTACTGGAAAATTATTGACTGACTAATTGACACTCATCAGTTAGAAGGTTCTGTATGAACAGCGGATTAGCTGTCGGTAATCGGTCTTAGCTACCTCAGCCAACTCGTAACGTTCTCATGTACGCAATCTATACAGTCAGCGACGTGTCAGTGACAGCTGAGTAAACTTGGTCATGACTTGTCGCCAACTATCAGTGTTTGCTGATTGTCAGCAAACAGGCTGTACGCACAAACCATACATTGACGCCAACCTTATAATAACCTTGAGACCTTTTCAAAACGTGATCTGTACCTAACTTTTTCTCAACTGTGCATTAACTCGTCCCGCATCCTGCATTTGTATCTTGATTAGTTCCATAGGGGTTGTTATTCCAATTGCACATAGACCAGCTGATGCACCAGCAAGTATTTCTCTCAATAGTGGTAATTTCCTTAAAACAATAGTAAATTAGACACATATGTCGAGTAGATAGCCATTATCGGTGGACCACATTTATACAGTGTGTCCTCAAAGTTGCGACCCTTCCCTTACAGAGGTCATACAATAACCAGTCCAAAAAAATGTGGTGGGCTAAGGTGTAACCCTGCATCCTACGTAGAAAAGTATGATGTTTTGCAGTGCGCTGTGTCAGTATCCAAATAAGGTGCACGCACTGTTTGGTTTAGGTTTGATTGATTTTGCCGAGTCTAATACCTCGGTTATTTTAAAATTTTGTTATAAAGCCCTAATAGTAATTTTTTTCTTTTATAAGACATTGAAGTAAGATATTAAGCTGTAAAACTAAACATAACAACAAAATTTAGCTGGCACATAAATATTCGGACGAACCATTTCTATAGCTTGTTACATCTCCCTTTGCCGTAATAACAGCATTAATTCTGGCGTGCATATTTTTAAAAAGGTTTTCGCAGTCTTCCGCCCTAATTAGAATCCCATATATTTTGTAATTTTTCTCGAAAATCAGAAATGCTTCGTTGTGGATCAACTGCTACTTCATCTTGTGCCATACAGTTTCGATAATATTCAAAGGACTACTGGATGGCCAGTCAAGGATGGAAATTTTATTATTCTCCAACCATTTTTTGACGATTTTGGCCGTATGGCAGAACGTCCCATCTTGTCGAAAAATAAAATTTCTATCAGGTGTAAATTGGATATCAGTCTAGCAAATTGGATTCAGGGATATTTTGATATTTAGCTTCGTTCATTCTTTCAACGCCAAAAGCAGATATCCTTCACTTTTGTCTATGGGCAGTCTTTATGATAGGCTTAATTTTTGTTCCTTATAACCCGGGATCGGTGGTCATCCACACAAACATCAAATTTCGATTCATCGCTGAAAATAATCTTTTACCAGTCTTTGTAAGTCCACATTGTTCGTTACTTAGCCCAGGCTAATTGCATTTTCTTTTGTTTTTCCGTAAGCAACGGCTTTTCTGTTCTTACTGAATAAATATGCCATATGTCCCTTAAATGCAACCTACGTACCTAATAAAAATGTAAACCAGACTTATCAATCCACCAACAGCTCGTCTCTCGAGCTGTTTCTTCATTTCATTTTGCTGTTATGTCCCTTAAGGCAAGTACTTACATAAGAAAATTTTCGCAAATGATGATATCAAATGTTTATAAATGTTTATACACGCTTATAAATGCCTACAAATATGTTATCCTCACCGAACGATCATACTCAAGAGACAGTCTCTTCCCACGTGATTTGAACGTTGGTGTGTCGGGCGAAAAATTCAATTATATCAAAAATGCCTTCTTTATGATATAAAAACAAATCATAGAAACAGTGTGTTTAAAAACTTTACTCGAATGTTACCAGATTATCTTGACTTTCTGCTTTCAACAATAACTTCATAAATATCCAAGTGTGATACAAACTATAAACTGTGTGTTCCTCTTGAAATTAGACTTGCAATTACCTTACGCGTTTCAGTCACAGGAGCCTCTTATCCCAGCCTCATGTATCTGTTTAGTGTTTCTCATACCATGTATGTATTTATTTCGTCCGTACACACCAACGTTGCGAAACATCCACAAACAAGTACAAATCGTTTGATGTGACCGACCTTGGATGGAACGCTGCCAAACACCTACAAACATCTGTAACCATTTGTGTGATTCAAGTCCGCACCAAACACGCACTGCATTTGAATATATTTGCAAACGTTTATAAACATTTTGCACCTTCGGTGAGTATGCGCCTTTTCAGTACCTAGACGGCCAGCTTTACAAATCCGAACAAGAGATCTTTGCATCCTAGGCCTGATCTTACGTGTAGGCAACTGTTGAAACTTGAGTTGAACCTGTGTCTCCATACGTTTTTACAATATCTGCCACCGTAGACATGCGACATTTATTTGTTTAGCGATATCCCGAAAACGCTTTCCTTGATGAAACAATTTTATGATCAAAACTACGTTTGTTACTTTAACACGCAACATTTTAAAGCAAATTGATTCACATTATTGGTTCTTAGATCAAAACGTCACATTGTGAACACTTTTTTGTTTCCATGGCCTGCTATTATTTTCTTTTTAATAATATTAGTTTGACTTTATATTTCAATATCATATTCCTTGAAAACCGTTTCGTTAATATGATATGCAAGCAATATATTTCATTGTCTTATAAAAGAAAAAACAATTAGTTTTTAACCTTACAAAAATGAACAAACTTTTAGATAACATTAGATAATGTACGAACATGTTTGTGTGAGTAATCGTATATACGAGGGTAAATCAAATATAAACGGTATGTCTTTTGTATGTTTATTGAACAATATACTGTTTTAACATTTTTGAATATAACCGCTTTAGAAGCTCCAGTATTTCCTGTTCATAGAAAGTTTGAGAGCGAGTTATAAGCCAATTCCGCACGTGCTCCTAGACGTCTTCATTGTTCTCAAATGGTTTCCCTCCCAATGATTCCGTTATAGGCGAAAACAAAAAATAGCCACATGGGGATAAGTTGGAGCTATACAGAGGGTGCTCAAAGGTTCCCCAGCCCATTTTTCCCAGTGTATCCCTTGTGTAAGCCGCGGGTTGTGGCTCGCGTTGTCATGAAGGAGAATCACATCCGTGATGTCTTTTGTTCCGATAAGCTGCTTGATGATACCGGCTTCTGATGAAATTTATTCCACGGTTACCCGACCATCACGTTCAATAAGCTCTCAAACAGCACGAATGTTGTCACCTGTAAGGCTTGTTCTTGGACGTTGATCATGTGTTTCGTTTTCAACCCTTCTCGTCAGCCCTTGAATTCTCTCGCCCACGTAAACACTCGATTCTGGGTACTGTTTCCAAACTGTGCCCGCATACGTGTTAAAATTTCAGACGGTTTAACGCCTTCATTGGTTAAAAACTTTATTATCATCCGTTGTGGAATAGATGAAGGTACTTCTTACTGAGTCATGGCTGTACTGGCGGTAACAGCGCGCTTGCGTGCCAACCATACCGGTTCCCCCACTCCTCACAAGCCATCTACTCCGCACAACATAATGTAGCTAGGAATATAATTCTAAGAACAGTCACAAAATTAAATTACCGATTATATTTGAATCACCCTCGTACTACTAGGAAAAACCGCTTATTTTTCCAAAATGTATATGCCGTGTAAAGCAAAAACCCAGCTTTGCGGACAGCCTGTAAGTTTATTTATCTGCGTATCTTGACTGTCTATTTTTTTAAATATGTGCAATTGAAGGCTAAATCACTACACTTTCTGTAGATATAAAAGGGTGGATTGGAGGCTAGTGGTTTGAGTATTCTGAACTAGATTGATTCAGCTTTTAAGAGAAGAAAGAAGTCTTTTACCTGAAAAAAGAGTGTGCAACCGAATATAAGAACGTCAAACTCGGCCTTGATAGGGTAGGGTGAGTTGTGAGCTGGTGGTAGATTTAGCGTTGAGTATTTATGGTTTTTTTAGTGGGGCGTCTTATTTAAAGAAAAATATATATTGCCTTGTTGTTAAATTTTTGGTATAATACCAGTGCTTTTCTTTACTGTCCCCCTTCCCTTTGATTTTTTGAACGGATCAATTCAAAAAATCAAAAGTTGAGGTAATGAAATTGATGCGTGGATACCATATTTTAGAGTAAAATTGACAGATGAAAATATCATATGGCCGCTGGGTGCTACCTTGGAAAAAAATTATATGAAAACGGGGGTCTTGTGGCACATCATTTTGAAACTCCTGACGAGTACGCAAACCCACTAACATGCATGTCTCTACAAATAATTGTAATTCCCTGCCGTATCCACAGCAACAGTGATAAAAACTTGTTTTGTTATTTTTTGTTGACAGTGACAAGAATATCGGTACGAAAACAGACATCATTGTACAGTTAAAATATTCTTATTTAGTTTAAGTATAGATACTGTTTGAACTATTTTTAAGATGGTCAATTCTCGTCCATTGGAAGGAAAAATCGAACCGATTTTTATTTATGGTGCGACGCATAACGAAGAATAAGTATCACCCATACAAAATTCAAATGGTACATCAGCTAACTGAAGATGACCCCGATCGAAGATCAGAAGTCTGCGAGACTATGACGAAAAACATGGCATGGCATCCTACCTGTATCCAAAATATTTCTTTTGGTGATGAATGTAAATTTTTTCTCAACGGTAATGTGCATAGACAAAATTGTCGTTATTGGAGTGACACCAATCCTCACGTTTTTCGGGAAACTCATACTCAATATCCACAAAAAATTAACGTTTGGGCTGGGATATTGGGAAATCATATTGTGGGGCCTCTATTCATCGAACAAACTTCAACCGGTGAACTGTATTTGGATGTGCTGGAAAATACTATCGATCCTCTAATCACCGAATTCGATACTGATATAGTATTCCAGCAAGATGAGTACTACAGACAAGTTAAAAATTATTTAGATAACAATTTCCCCGGTCGTTGGATTGGCTCGAGATCCTGTGGAATGGCCAGCTCGCTCGCCAGATTTGAGACCCTTAGACTTTTTTTATGGGGCAATTTGAAGTAAAAGGTGTACGAAACTGAACCTGCTTCAATATTGGATATACGGCTGAGAATATAAATTTTTTGTAGCAATATCGATGTTACTATGTTTGAAAATGTTCGACGCTAAGTTGCGGACCGGCTGTTATTGTGTCAAGAAGCTCAAGGCAAACATTTCCAGCATCTTCTAAACTGAACTCAACGTATTTATTCGAATTATCAAGTTAAATGTCAATGTATGCAGGTAATTATTAAATGTACCACCATTTTGTAGTAGGTAAAGGTATTGATTTTATATTCTAGGGTTATAAAGTACTCGTCAGGAGCTTCATAATGATGTCAAGATGACGCCCAGCGGCCATCTTGACATTTTCATCTGTCAATTTTACTCTAAAATATGGTATACACACATGAATTTCATTAGCTCAAGTTTTAATTTTTTGAATTGATTCGTTCAAAAAATCAAGAAAAGCACTGTATATTCCTAACTTTAATGCAGACATGATGATAACGGCGTTTGAAAGACCACGGTTTGTACTTCAGAAATCACTATTTTGCACCTTTGGGTTAGGATACCTCTGAAACTACACCCAACTGAAAAATTTGGACCATTGATTCGAATTCAACTCATCAAAAACCTTCAAGAAAGTATAGTCTGGTTTCTAGGTAAAAATCTTGTCGGCCTGAGCTATTGTATGGTCGTGACATCCCAAGTAGGTGCAGTAAACTTTGGCTATTTCGGGCTGATAAATGTCATGTTAGCACTTTAACTGAACCTAATTGTATACTCACCCATCTCGAGTTTGATAATGGTGTCTGAAAAAATCGTTTGCTGCCAGTTTAGTTGATTTTTCAGGAGTAACTAATATTATGTTGACCAAGGAACCTCTATACATTCCCACTATACCTTCTGATCTAAAAGTCTTCTTGATAGCGTCGATACTTGCAAATAGAAAAAATATGTTTCATAATCATGCTACTACAAGGAAATGAGATGAGAAAATATTTAAGATAATCATAGGAGAACGTATAAGGACTGCGAATGATCCTGAACGAAATCGATTTTGGACAGAATTCAGTTCAGCAGTTCGAGCTCCCAAAGCGCTAAGAAAACGACAAGAATCGACTATAAAAATGGCGTGAAGTAAGTTGACTCTGTACTTTCCATGCAACGATGTCATCAATCAGTAGATGATATGTTCTTCAAAAGTTAGGCCTTCTGAGAAAAGAGTTAGCTACGAACACGTATAACAAAAGATTAACTGACCGTTGGTATGACTAATCTCAGGCGGATAACGATATTGACTTTTACATTATATGGCGCGCACGACGCATGGCCGTCAGCCAGGCCATGTCGCACGTATCGACACGCGACTGTTGGAGATATTTCAAGTGTAAATGGGGACATCTACGATAGGTGAATTATGTCTAATAGGTGCGTAGAATTAGTACGGTTGAAGGCGTGTAAATATACCAACGTCAATCATTGAGATACTATATAGTCTTCCCCACCCCCTAAGACCGCTGGCCCCCAATTTTTAAGCCCTACATTTTTTCCGAATGGCTCTGAAACGTCAAAGAACGAAGTTTAAGTAAACTTTGTTTCGTTTTTGGTATTTTGGAATATTATTAACCTTGTGTAAAAATTTCATCCAGATACGAGCGGCACTTTCCAAGTTATAGACGGGCCAAGGATTAGCGGACACACAAGCAGACCAACAGACAGATTGACACACCCACGAAAATGAGTAACTTGTTTTTTCGGGATGTACGCCCACTTCTCATTTTCGATGATTTTCACGATCAAAATACTTCCTCTCCAGTAGGCGTCGGAAGTAAAAAAAACTAATTACCGTTTTTTCAATTTCTGGTTTTACTGGAACATAGCCCAAAATTTCAATTCGTACTTCGGCTCACTAAGTAGCGCTATCCCGTTGAAACCAACCTTCGGATCATTCCACTGTACAAGCATGATGTACGCGTTGCATGAGTGTCTATACCAAATTTTGTACCGAAACTTTTTCTAGGAAATAGTTCAACATGTTTGGAGAAAACTTTGCAACGAATGCAATTTAAAAATTGACGAGTAAGGCAACACTTAACAGAGAAAAAATAACTTTCATAGGCTGCATGCCATTTTCAAATGCTTTTACTTACATGCCACTGTATTCTTTTACACCTAAAGAAGTTTGCTGGTTTTGCAATCTGGTTTTCACCAGATCCAATGGAAAAACACATGCTACGCCAACTATACCAGCCACCCCGCCATTAACGATTTTTGGTAATAATCTATAACACAATTGAGCAAATTAACTCCGCAACTACACTCATAAAGAATAAAGACCGTAAATTTTGAGGGAATCTTAGTAAAAATGGCAGTATTGGTGTTTGAAGCCTCAAGTGTCTAGCTTATGTATCTTTCAGTCAGGCAGACTTTAGTGCTGTGGGTTCACGCAATGATAGGACATAACGTGAAGAAAAACTTACATCTCTCTTATTCATTTACTTAGATCAAAGAACCTAGAAATATGATTTTCGCTAATCCACTGAATAGCTCAATAGCCTGTTTATTCGGATTCAATTTGCATTTTCCAAGATCCCGATAAGGTCATTTTTTGCTGGGATGTCGAATTTTCATGAAAATGGCTTTGATCGTCGGTTTCTCTGGATCCAATCATCGTACAGAATTTGGTTGTTTCAGCTGGAATGAATTCTCTAATAGAATCAATGATCATTTATGGAAACATAGTTTTTCTCCCTTCATGTGGGCTGGAAAAAGAAACAAGAAAAAATGACTAATTCATGTTTCTGGGAAAACTAAGAGCTAAGATATCAACAAAATGGCCAATGCTGTGCGTGACTTTCACAGATCCGTATACCTAAAATTTCTTCCCGACCGTTTTTCGTCTTTGATAATGAAAGTTTCGAAAACATTAGAGGATCAAAAAATTCAAATTGAAAACACTTTTTCAAGGTTGTTTTACAAAAAGCGTTGGAATTGGACCATTCTTTTCATCAATTTGATCGCTAATAGTGATGAATATGTGCAAACAGCTGGCAGAATCGCTTTCCATCTTAAAGTCTTTAGCAGCAATAAACGTGATACTTTTTTATTTTTTCGTAACGATAATTTTTCGGTACAAAAAAGCATCTGACTAGATCAAAGTGAAATTCTACAGGACTATTGTGTGTGTGTGTGGAGACGTCAAAGTCAAACTCAACATTTCATACATTAAAGTTCAGCCTACGACTTCCCAAAAGCCATAAATTAGCTCTTTGTATGTTCCTATTTCAGCTCATATGAAGGTTAAAAAATTGTTTCTCCATGAATGGTCATTGATCCTCTTAGGGAGTCCGTTTCATTTGAAACTCGATACCTCAAAATAAAATGGCGTCAAGTAGATCGAATCTGCACTTCCAGCGCAACGCTGTTATGAGTCCATAAAGGATTATGTTCGGCCTAAGTTAGTCAGTTTGAGCTAGCTACAAACATGGATAACAAAAAAAAGTATCAACCATCTGACAACACTGTTAGACCACATCAGCCAAACACGTCATGAGCGCGGGTCACGATACTATAACATCACTTCCGGCGATGCTGTCAGACACATTGCAGGGTTTGGCGTATGAAATTCGCTGTTGCATTGCGTCATCCCGATCGGCCGCGTCTCTTGTCTATAAATATTGAAGTTATAAGTGCAAATGTACGGGGAAATCTTTGATGTGTGAAATATGTGATATTTGTGTAAAATCACTGGGGTTGGAAGCGTACAAATATACTGTAGCCAACAAAATGAGATATACTTTTCCTCGACCCCTACAACCTCCAACCCCCTATTCCCAACACCGATAAAAATGTTCCTGTAAATGACCTCTGAAACGTCAAAAAGCAATTTTAATTTTTTCGTGTTTCTGCCCCAAAGCTCAGCGGCCACTCGATCGATTTTCAAAAACTTCAAAGTTTTTTCGCCTTGTTTGATTTCATCCAAATGCGAGCATTAGTTTCCAAGCTATAGGCGGACCGAGGATTAGGCATACCGACAGATTGACAGACATACTGACAGACTGAAATGAGTGTCATATAAGATCAAAAAAACCAACTCATTTTTGCAATTTTTCACGACTGCAATACTTCCTTACCAGTAGGCGTGTGAAGTAAAACTGGTTGTACCGAAGTTTTTAAAACAGCAAATCGAAGCTATTAAGTCTATGCAATGATTTGGCGAAAAACATTTTGACACTGGGAAAATCAAAAACCTAGACTACTAAAGCTTTAAAAATATTGAGACTATACTTTAGGGCATACCGCAAATACCTCATTTCTTGAGAGATTAGGATGTAACTTTTACGAAAATATCATTTTTTTTCTTGCTATTTTATAGAACTTCAAAGCTGCATTTGTGGAGGTAATAGTCTAGAATAGAATACTGTTTTATACGCTGTCTTTTTTTGCTTTTGCACAAAAGAATGCTCTAAATTATAAGATGATAATATACACTCAATACTACTAAGGAAAATAGATGTGAAACTGTAAAAAATCGTTCCTTGTAAAAGAAGGTTCAAAACCAGCCGTGTTATTACAAATTAGCTTATTAGCTAAAATACATACGTTAATGATGGTATTTACTTGGTAAACTTGGTCAACTGTGTAGAGATGTTGCGTTGTGATTTTTCAATGTCTTCTTGAAATTCCTTAACCATTTTTTTTTTCGCGTATTTTCAATGAGATCTAAGTGTTTGCGTTTATAAGAAATATTTGAAAGTACAAACAATACTCAATGGCCACTTTTAAAGTTCATTTCTTGACACATAAGATAAATGATGTCCATTGTTGCCAAGTTGTACCTTTTTGGGAGAAATACGTAAAGATGTGCTTATCTGCAAAATGAAAGTCTTAATTAGTCGTAAATGGCTTGGTTAAGGAGAAGTTGTCCGAATATTTACCGAAAACTAGAAGAAATTTTGAACAGTAAACAGTGGTAAAATGCACCATCGGTTCGCGTGACATAAAAAATACACCAGCAGTCAATACATATAAAAATACACAACTTCGATTCATCGATATGGACCACCTCGCCAGGTCCACCCAACATATCGTCCAACATTATAATTATTAAATAAAGATCAACGATCATTTCATCAAGTCATCAAAAAACTTGCAATGTTCTTTGTTATTATATTATTTAGTGATTGACAACAGCTACTTTTTCAGTAATTTCTCATATATATTATATTTAATTAGGTATATTTTGTGACATCAGCTTCATTTTAAATAATTCTTCAAGTACATTTATACAAAAGGTAATTATAACTATAATATAGGAAAAACAATAACCGAAGTACTTTTGTGAAAGGCATAAGGTATTCTTCAAAAAAATGGAAGCTATCGTAGGGCACGAGGTGAATATAGTACAGTAAAACCTGCCGGCCACACCTCCAAATCGTATTTTCATGAAAATTATGTGCCAATTGCACATTTTTGCGCTAGTATATAAGTAAGAATTTGACAAAACTACAATCCATAATTTGGCAACATCGCAACTAGATGGAGAGAGTATGATAGTGATGGTGGTATAGTGATGGGAATATTTATCTGAAATAAAAGAAATGAACTATTTTCATCATTAGAATAGTACAAAATTGCATTGTTGCGCTGGACAGTGTCATAGTTATTTACAGTGTATGTTATATTCATATAATTTTGAGCAATATTTTGTGTAAACAAGAAAAAAGCAGCTTATAAAGCAGTATTCTATACCACAACATTACCACCCAAAATACAACTTTGAAGTTCTATAAAATAGCAAGCAGAGGGTTCCTTAAAAAAATATTTTCGTGAAAGTTACATCCTAATCTTCCATTTTAAAATAAGAAGTGAAATATTTGCGATATGCGCTAAAGTATAGTTCAGCCAAAAGATTATCTTAGAACCTTATTAGGGCTATTCTTTACTGAGATACAGCTCTTCTAATGATCACTGAAAATTTTGAATTTTTATTTGTTCCTTAATTGTTCCATTGGCGTATTTTTATCAACCTAAGCAAATAGTACGCTTACAAAACCTTGTAATGAATGGCAATGAATGCTCAGTGACTAGCACATCATTTTGACGATCAAATTCGAAAGGATTCGTTTTGGATTTCACATACAGGTCGCTTGAGCGTAGTGGATATTTATATTACTCACCGGAATCCTGCACTCTTAGGCTGCTCAACCGCATTGTGCTTAGGTTTATGACCGTCTGACATACTTTATCATGCATTCAATCTGCCACAGGAACAGTAATATAACCTATTTGAGAAATTTCTGTCAAATTATTAAAGGTGTATTTAGACTAGAGGCAATTTGTTGGTATTCCTACCATGTTGGATTCTCAAAAATGGAAATAAATGAATTTTTACTTCTTTGAACAGAAGTAAAACATATAAAAAACTAGGTTTAGTAACTAAAAAATCTTTGAGTAGCTTTTAAACGTTTCCTATGTCCTTTTCACAAATATGACTCACAGCTTAGAAGTATACAAAAACATTTTGATACTCTAATATCATTCTGTTCATCCATAACTACGCTGTCAGTAGAAATAGGTGCAGTTATTACTGAGATTACACATTGATAAGATCTCATGCAGCATGAGAAATACATAGAAGGTTTTTCCTATTGGTCTTACCTTAGATATCCGTAACAAGTAAGTGTATGGCGAAACTGAAAAGCACTGAAGATCTGAAATACTATTTGAAGAATGAGCATTGCTTCACTTCAACAAAGTGTCTGTACATATCGATATGCATGATAAAACTGCATCACTGTTTACTTGATTGAGTGGCAGCTTGTAAAATATCAATATATTTCTGATTGGAATGGCCGTGTTATTCCAAATTCAGTTGTGCTGGACTTTGACTTTTATGTCTCTGTAACTGACTAACAATGCAGCGAATACCAATAAACCTAATAATTTATCGCAGCATAATATATAGGAATAGGAATAATTATCGCACAAAGTGAACATTTCACTTTTGCAACTGGATAAAATATAATGAATCATATTCCATTTCCAAGGTTGTGATTAGAAAGAAACAACTCAGTTTGAAAGAGATTTGAAGACAATCAAGGCGAACAGAAGGCAGAGGCAAGAGTAAGAGGGGCACAATATTGGAATTAACATAAGCATGACACTTCCCACAAAGATGAAATCTTCAATCAATTCTGTAGTGGGAATCACCCCAGGAAAAAAGGCGTCAAGTAAGTTGACTCGACGCAACGCTGTAGTAATCAGTTCAGTACAAGCTAGACCTTTAGAGAAAAAAGTTAGCTACAGACATATAAACATGATCGTTGCGATGACCAATCCCGCTTGAATAGGATATTGATCTCCACCATGCACATTGCACACAGCAGTGCGGAAGCGATTGCCGACTGTGACTTATGATGCTCGTCCATCAGAGGACCACGTCGCAATTATGGAAACGTAACTGTTAGAGATACTCCTAAATTTTAAGCTTAAATGTGCGGGGACATCTAGGTGCGTGTAATTGCTGGAGTTGGAGGCGTCTACAAACAGGGTGCCCGGTAAATAGTACGACAAAGAACAAGGACGGCGAAGGGCAACATACCAAAAAGTGACACTAGTGAAAGTTTCACTGTTTTCGAGATATTCATTTTTTGTCTCACTTTTTGTATCTATCTTTTGTTGCTGTGCCTAGAAATAACAGGATATCTGTTTGTTGTAAAATATTCTCAGATAGTTGGGCTGCCATATGGAATATCATTTTCGATAAATACAAGTAGGTAAATTTGACAAACTAGTTTCTTCTGAGTAATTTTTATTTTAGAAAACCATTTTACTCAACGTTGGTATTCAGCAATGAAATAAAAATGTACTTGACACCTACTGCACAGTACTGCGATAAATTTCCTGCTTAATCAGCAACAAAAGGTAGATCAAACGAGGAAATTTTTCGAAAAAGTCGAAAAAAAATAATATCTCAAAACCAGTGAAACTTTTACTAGGGTCATTTTTTGGTTTGTCGTAGATCTGCCTGTCGCCTATCTTCCCCATTTTTTGTCGCACTGTTTACCATAAAAAAATTAGATACAAAAGTTTTTCAAAAAATGATCAGTATCCCATGAAACGTCAAAAACGAAGATTGAGCGATTTTAATTTTTTTCGTTTTTGGCCTTTTTGTCAGCCGCCTCCTGACTACAAAGATCTTTCATCCTTGACACAGTAAAAACCCTATCAGGTAATTTCATCAAAATCCGACATGTACTTTTCAAGTTATAGCGGTGTCAAGGATTAGCGAACAGATAGACCGACGGAAATGAATGACATGTTTTTGCATAATCATAATGTTATAATCATAATAACCCAGTTTAGAAATGTTTTGCCATTAGAAGTGAGAAGTATAAAGTGACCGATAGTCAATAAAAACAATGATGTAATTTGAAGTACTGATTTCGAATATGTTCTTCAAATAATCCGAAATTGTTGAGAAGTTTTGGTTGGTCTAGTAAAATGGGTAATGCCTTCTAATAACATTCGCAAAAAAACTGACATCGAATTATTGATCTACGCACCCAAATTACCTAAGAAATGAGTCTTCTAAATATAATATTTGAGTCTTCGCCAATATAAGTTATCTGAGAATTTTCTTAATCTTATCTCCTTGAACTTCAAACCTTCCCAGTGCAAAATTTTTATTATGAGCGGTCTCGTAACTCATTTTGGGTCGCTGATTTTAAGTACCGAGCTTCACTCGGTAAGGTCTGGTGATTGGAGGCAAAGAACGGAGATCAAACAAGCAAAAGCCGGTCCACTGAAAAAGTATTGTGTACGCTGCCACCTAAATGAAACAACAGTTTATCAGCATGTCGGATTAACAGTTCGCTTCTATTAAACGGCAAGTGCCCCCAAACATATAGGAAGCAGCTGTATTTACTGATGATTGCTAAGAAGCACGAAACCACATTGCATACGGTTGGTAATGGTCAGAGCGATGAAACGCAGGTAGACCCTCTTTAGCCTGTGTTTATGGAACTTTTGCGCCATATGTCAAAGCTGTTAGCATCGTACCTACTTGGTACTCCCCAACTAACAATTATCACTCCTATTAGAGTTGCAAGAATGATTATACAGTATTCCTTACACAGCATTATATGCTGTAAGAACATTGGCAAAACCCTCTTAGAACAGCTACACAATCAGAATGGGCACACTTAATAGGACACTTCAGTCATTTAAGAGGTTGTATAAGGGCTGCAGGTAACAGTTATACAACAAAAGTGTAAGCCCCTGGCAGCTGCTTGTAGAACATTTGCGTCAGTGCAAGATTCAGTTTTTGTCAACTATACAACTATTCTGTTACATGATCCTACTTTATTGCAACCAAACTATTTCTTATGTATTGTATAGTCGAAGTGAAGAATATATAACTACCACATTACAGTCATCTTGTTTACATACATATCGGCCATTGTGAATTTCATACACAGGTATATGATAAACTTCTACACTGTGATATAGGGCCACTCAATTACTTGCGCAGCAAATTTTATTGTGATTATCGTGCAAAGTAGTTGCACAATTTCTACGGGCTTCGTATTTGATTCATATTTTAATGATCAAAATTATGTCCAGATTTTTAAGATAAAAAACTGAACTTATCTGCGTTAAATCTTCCACAAATCCTATACTTAGACACAATTACACTAATGTTTATCACTTCATATCTGCAATGTCGAACTGAAAGGTAATTATTTAAATTTCAATAGAGAAATATATTTTTGCCCAATATGGTGGGTGGTTATTTATAACCATGACATCGTCCATATTGTCTTTGGTTTATTAGAATATTTTGGTGTTTTCTGCAGGTGTTGTATTTACAACAATTTGACAAATCTCTGAAACGAAATACGGATAAAGTCGAATGATTTACCCAGAGAATTTGTACCAGATCTATATCTTCTGTTTGAATAGTTTATAAAACCTTTTAAACCAATATGCATGTGTTGTTTGTCTTAAAATATTGGTTATACTGCATTTTAACTAAAAAGACGACAGCAGAAAGTTAGATTATGGTGAAGTTATATACCAACATATTTAGCAACAAATGTATGCCGAGCACACCAATTTTCGACTACAAAAGTTGCAATATTGTTGCAGAGGTACAGCCTTTAACAGTTACTAAACGTCAGTTGTAGGTATATGTGCTTTCGTTGGGAGCAATTTGTTCGAAAAAGTAGTAAATTTGCACAGCAAAACAACAAGGCTCGGGTTTGTTGTATAAACGTTGCCATGGATGCCACAAGACAACTATTTTGACTATCGCGCAAATATGCCGTTTAAAATAGTTGTATAAACGTTTATCCAACAGTTCAAAATTTGTCCTATAAGGTGTTGTGCAACTATGCTATAAGTATATTTTATGTTCAGGCAACAACAATAGAGAGCTTTTATGGCTGAACGGTTCTTTTACCAAAAGCTTATAGCACTACTTTGCTAGTTTGGCTACAGTTGTCCTTTTCATGAAAGCGAACTCTGATCTTGACATGTCGGGAAACTGTAGTTTTCTACTACCGACGTAGGAGTCGGTAGTACCGCATTTTGCGAACTACTTATAGTTGACTGTGTCACCTCTTTTCCGTAAAACTATTTTGCTTTCTCTTGCTTGTCTCCAACAACTGAACCTATGCTGCGCTGGTGATTGCCAAAAACTCGAAGCAACAGTATTTACGGTCGATTTTCAACGCATCCAATATATCATAGTGAGGACTATTCGTCTAAGGCCCGTATCGTCAGTCGTCCCTACAATTGTAGGGCGCCATTATGGCCTGCTTGATTGTCATAGTTTTCTACTTCTCCGTGTCAGCGCTCTATTTTTTATATCACAAACATCTATTTGCATCAAGTTGTGCTTGCTTTTGAATTATATCAAGTTTTATCAGCCTGAAATTTCCTACAATTTAAAAAGAAAACATATCTTAACAATGCGAGAGCGCTGACGCTGACACGGGACAAGTGTAATCTAGAAATTTTTGAAGGAGAGAAAGCAGTATGAGAATCAAGGAGGCCGATTCGCTAGAATCCGAATGCAGACTCAATTACCATGAAGACGAGGACGACAACCACGAGGAGGCCATGGAAGTCGCAGCCGAAATCATGAGGAGTCGACCACCTGGCCAGGAGACGGATCATCCCTCCAGTCCAGAGGAAATCCGTCTGATCATCCGCAGGTTGAAGGTCAGAAAGGCGCCGGGAAGGGACGGCATCAACAACAGGATGCTGAAAAACCTTCCCACCAAAGGCATTGCTGCGCTCACCAACATCGCCAATGCCACTCTGAGACTTAACCACTTCCCGCGGCGGTGGCGGGAAGCCCAGGTTATAATGCTCACCAAGCCAGGCAAGGACCGGAAGTTGCCCCAGAACTACCGGCCCATCAGCCTGGTTTCCTCGATGGCAAAGTAGTCGAAAAGGATATCGCCGTTCGACTAGAGAAGCAGGCAGAAGAACTGCAACTTCTCCCCCCAGAACAATTCGGCTTCAGATTCTCCCACAACACGGAACTCCAAGCGCTACGACTGACAGAAAACATCACTAGCGGCTTCAATCTCCAGGAGGTCTCGTCCTGCTGGACGTGGAACGAGCCTCCGACTGAGTTTGGCACGATGGACTCATCGCCAAAATGGAAGCCGCCGGAATCGATGCGAACATGTGCCAACTGATCCAGAGCTATCTAACACAAAGATGGTTCACGGTGAAGATTGGTACATGCCATTCAACAAGACGACAGCTGGAAGCAGGCGTGCCCCAGGGGTCAGCCTTAGCCCCCCTGCTCTACAACATCTATACTCACGATGTGCCGAAGACAGCTGACACAATGCTGGCTCTATATGCAGACGACACTGCTATAGCCGCCAAGCATAGACGACCCGAGATCATCCGTAGGAGACTACAGGATGAACTGGACCACATTCAGGACTGGTGCGTGAAATGAAACATCCGCATCAACGTC